CCCCTGCAGCCCCTTTGGGGACCCGCGAGAAGCATTCCTGGGCCCGAGGGCCAGCGCGGACCTGCTGGCGGCCTTGACCGACCCCGAATATCCCATGTCCGCCTCCTCCCCCACGCGGTGCTCGGGCGGATCCCCACAGACCTCGCCAGGCTAAAAATCCTCGGGTTTATTTCTCCCTGGGCCTGTGGTCCGAGGCTGGAAATAACCTCTCCAGGCAGCGCTCCAATTCTGGAACAAACGAGTCATCCCCTCCCTCCTCTGTGGGAAGGACCTCATGGAAAAGCATTCTTACAAAGCGCGCCAGGATCGTCCGCTCCCGGTGCTCACACGCCGAGGCCCGGGTCCGTCTCATTCCGGGAGCCCACGGCGGACCCTCTGCCCCGCCCAGGCCCCCTGAGCACCAGGGCACTGCCCGGCTCTCTCCCACGCCACTGCCTCTCCCCAAGAGCGGCCGCAGGGCTAACTGGGCATCGAACAAGCTGCTTTGGGAAGGGGGTGGGATCACCAACGAGGCCTTGAAATGCTGCCGTTTCTTTAGGTTTTTCCTATCCCTCGGCAATTTCACCGACACTTGAATTCCATTCTAAGTCCTGGGCCCATCACCCAGCCGCCTCCACGTGGGCACCTCTAATGCAACCTGGTCTGAACCCAAATTCAAGGTCTTCGCCAGGCTTTCCTCTCCTCCCGCCCTCAGAGAACGGCCGCCCGTCGCTCGGCGGCTGCTTGGGGCTGGCTCGTGCGGCCTGGTTCCGGCCTGGTGAGCCGGTCCCGGCCACATCTGAGTGGGTTCAAACCCCAGGCCTGGCCCCGGCTGGCTCCTCAGACAGTCTATAGCCGGAGCCAGCTCAGTCAAGCCGGGCTGGGTGGGATGGGGTCCCTGCCTTCATCATTCTCTGGGGACCCCCGCCAGGACTTCCCTTGGACAAACACGGAGCAAGAAAAAGGCAGGACGCTGATTTCCATTGGGGCCGCGAGCGTGACAGCCCAGTTTCCGCTCCGTCCCTCTTCCTTAGACATCCTCCTCTCCAGGCCCATCATCTGCCAGTTAAGTCAGCTAATTTCCCACTCAACCCAATCTCACTCATGGGTGGAGGAAGAGCCTGGTAATTTTTCCTCATGCCATGTCCTGTTAATGATGCTTGAAATTATGCAAATGAAATTGATGAGCACAGCCAATTCTGGGCAGGCGGGAAAGGGAAAGCTTCCTTTAAAATGCCCGCTGTGGCCTGGCCGCCGTGGCTCTGTGGTTGAGCGTCAACCCATGAACCAGGAGGTCACAGTTCCATTCCCAGTCAGGGCACAGGCCCGGGTTGCGGGCTCGATCCCCAGTAGGGGGCGTGCAGGAGACAGCTGATCCATGATTCTCATCATTGATGTTTCCAATTCATGAGGATAACTTGGGGTGCTGTCCAGGGGGCTCTGGCTTCTCCCTCCTCCCCAGCGAGAGCGGGCGGCTCACAGGAGGGGCTGTCTGACATCACCTCTCTCGCCCCGGAAACCAGGTGCGGACTCTGCGTACTGCCCCCAACATTCATGAGGATAACTTGGGGTGCTGCCCAGGGGGGCACTGGCTTCTCCCTCCTCCCCACTGAGAGCGGGCGGCTCACGGGCGGGGCTGTCTGACATCACCTCTCTCGCTCCGGAAACCAGGTGCGGACTCTGCGTACTGCCCCCAACATCACTGCGGTGAGCCGGTTAATTAAAACACCAGAGCACGGGGAGCGGAGAACGCGGCTCGTCCCGCTGCTCGGCAGCGGCCAGACATCTGCTGTGAACATCTGTGAATGAACTGCAGCAAATGTCCCCGCAGCGTCTGTCCCCGCGTCCCCGCACAGGCCATTTCCCAGCCCAGGGAGAGGCCTCTGTCGCAGAAGCTGAGCCGCAACGCTCAGAATTCAGATGACCTCACATCCCATTGACCTATTTTCAAATTATCTCGGTGCCGCTCGCATGGAGGCAAGGCTGCGGGGAAGCCCCCCTCCTCCTGCAGAACCCGCAGCAACGCCACGCACTAGCCCACGCTATCTCCGTCCCAAACCCCTTTCCGCTCAAACGGTCACCATCTTGCTGTGGGTTGCATTGTGTCCCCCCCAAATCCATATGTTGGAGTCCTAACCCCCAGCACCCAGAATGTAACCTTATGTGGAGGCAGGTCTTTACAAAGGTCACCAAGTTGACATGCGGTCACCAGGGTGGGCCCTCATCCGCCATGACCGGCAACCTTATAAGACACAGAAATCCGTCCGGCCAGCGCTGCTCAGTTGGTTGAGCGTCAACCCAGGGACCAGGAGGTCACCAGTTCGATTCCCGCCTGGTCAGGGCACATGCCTGGGTTGCGGCTCGATCCCCAGTGTGGGGCGTGCAGAAGACAGCTGATAAATGTTTCTCTCTCATCAACGTTTCTACCTCTCTCTCCCTTTCCCTTCCTCTCTCTGAAATCAATTTTTTAAAACAACGTATTTGTTTTTAAAAAAGAGGAAATTTGGATAGAGACACAGGCACAGGGAGAAGGCCATGTGAGGATGAAGGCAGAGGTCTGGGTGATGCTTCTACAAACCAGTGAACACCAAGGACCCCGAAGCAGGGGAGAGGCCTGAGGCAGACCCCAGACCCCGCACAGCCTGGGAAGGACCCGCCCTGACGACACCATGGCTCTACACCCTCGTCTGGACTTCCCCTCCAGACGGAGACAATAAATGCTGCTGTCGGGTCCTCCAGCAACTCAGCAAACGCTCGGCGCCTGTACGGGAGTCCCAGCGGGGAGGAAAGGGCTGCCCCTGTACCTGAGCGTGGTCCCGGCCAAGAATGAGCCTGAGGAGCTCACAACCCCGGCCCACACCTGTCACAAGAAAAACGTACGACCAAGAAAGGGCGTGGCACAAAGCACAGGTGTCCGCCTGATGCCCCCATGATCCGGGCCACCTCCGAGGGTGCCTCCTCGGTCCCACCTGATGCCCCCATGATCCCCATGATCCGGGCCACCTCCGAGGGTGCCTCCTCGGCCTGCCCCCTCCGCCTGGCTCCACCCCGTGACCAGGGGGATCGGGAATGCTTTCGGGTGCAAACGTGGGCGGGAGGAATCTGCACTCTTTCTACACATCTTCTAGGACCCTGAACCCCCACGCCCTGCCCTGGGGACAGAGGACAGCTCTTTGCATAAGCCATGGGACTAGTTCACACCTGTCAGTGTCCCAACCCACAGCTATCCCCCCCACGGACAGGGTATGGGGGGGGCGGTGTGCTTAGAGGAGCCACAGCCTGGACTTCCCCCATCTCAACCCTCACCGCTCATGAGGTCACCCGGGGGCTTTGTAACTTGATACCTGGCCCCCCCCCCAGACCCATGAAGTCAGAGGCACCAGGAGTGGAACACAAACACCGTATTTTTCCACACGGCTCTGCTGCAGCCGGGCTGACTCCCCACGGAAACCGGCTCCGCCCCCAGCCCGGCTGTGACTCCTGCAGACATGACTGTCTAACGGCCGCCGGGGACCGTGGTTTTCTTTCTTTTTATTATTTGAGTTGTTTTAAAATGATATCTGATAACATATTCTAAAAACACCATCCTGGGGTCATACACCCGCGAGGACCGGGCAGAGCCGCCCGGGCCAGCCCTGCGCCTGCCCGTCTCACAGACTGCGCGTCGGAGGCGGGAGCACCTCTCCCTGCAGCCCCTGCTTCTGGGAATTTCCGACCCACAAAAGCCCGGCAGGAAGCGATGCGACGGTGGGAAGATACGGATCTTCTGTGGGGTGTGCATGTGGGGGTGCCTGTGGGGGGTACGCACAGGCGCAGTGTGGTGCCTGTCATGCACAGGGGGTTGCATGTGTGTGGTGTGTAGATGCATGTAGAAGTGTGCATGGGTGTGCCTGTGTGTATAAGCACAGGGTGTGCACAGCATATGCATACACACATGTGAGCACATACATGGGTGTGTACGTGGGTGTGCACAGTGGTATGCATGTGCACGTGTGTGTGCACGTGGGTGCACGGGTGTAGAGGAAGAAATGGCGGCAGGGGCGTGTTTCAGATCGTGGGACTTTTCCGCAGGGCCTCGCTGTCAGGGGCTCCCCATCTTCATGCTCTGGGCCTGTGATGGGCGATGGCAGCCTGGCCCATGGCTACCCACAGCCGCTGGCAGTGCCATGACTTCTTGGGCTTCCCACACACCGGTCGGTCCCTCTTCTCCCTCCTCTCCTCACACTCGCCCCATCTGACTCCCTGCAGGAGCGTCGAGGGCAGGGAAATGCCTCCTCTCAGGCCGTTTCCGAGGGAGCTGGGCAGGCGTTAGCTGCCCTGCAGCGCTCCGCCCCAGTGCTCACGCTCCCGTCCGAGGGAGGGGGTGGGCACAGCACTGAGCAGCACGGCGCGCTGGTGGGCGGCGAGTGGGCACGCCGGCTCTGAAGGGGCCGGCACGGTGTGAACAACTTGGTACGGCAACAAAATGCCACCGGGGCAGGAGCCAGAGGGAGCGACGGGCTGGCTCCCTCTCCCAGCACCGGCCCTGGGGACAGCTCCCTGCCCCGTTCCTTCCAGCTCGGGTGAGTTCGGCCAGATGGGGCGGAGGTGCTATTTCAAGGTGGCACCCTGTGCCCCAGAACCTGGACGGTGCTCCCCGGCGCTGCCACCCCGTGCAGCCCAGCCGCTGGTCAGTCCCCGTCACCACCCTCACATGTGCCTCCTGGCACACACAGCCCCATCCCTCTAATCACCAGTCTCCTGCCTCCCACTGCATCAGAGGGACCTGGAAAGGTAAGACCGGGGAAGGGGTGGGCGTTGCCAGCTCAGCTCACACCCTCCAGGGCTTCCTGGCCTCCAGCCCCCAGACAGGCCCAGGAAGGAGCCCGGTTCCGGAAGAGAAACTGCGTCTCCCCAAGACCAGCGGGCAGAGGGGACCCCACTTCCACGACCCGGCTCCATCCCACCGGCCAGTATTACTAGCCCCTGAGCACAAACACCGGGCACCGGTCGGCCCAGAGATGGAGAACTCAACCGGAGAACTCACCAGTGAGAGCAGCGCAGTGAGAGCAGCACAGTGAGAGCAGCGCAGTGTGAGCAGCACAGTGAGAGCAGCACAGTGTGAGCAGCGCAGTGTGAGCAGCGCAGTGTGAGCAGCACAGTGAGAGCAGCGCAGTGTGAATACGCTTCCCTGGTGCATCCCAAACGTGGCCAGGGGCCCCGTGGGGAGGAGGAGGTGGGTGAGACTGGGAGCAGGGCTCCGGGGGACGGGCTCCCCTTCCGGGCACTCACCTCTGCAGCTCCTTCAGGGACACTGTGACCCGCAGGCTGTGGCCCAGGACGTAGAGAGCGGCCAGGATGTCCGCCCACTGCACCATCTCCCCCAGAGGCCCGCCCTTCAGCACCCTCGGGCTGAACACGTCCCCAGACTCCTCCGTCAGGAAGCCGATGTGGACGAGGATCTGGGGGGACACAGAGGGTCAGCACGGAGGAGAGACAGCCCTGCCACCCAGGGAGACCCGGCCAGCAGCAGACACCGTCTCCAAGCTGGGCCTGGGCACTTGGGGAAGCCAAGGGGCAGAGTGACCGTGCTGGGCACTGGGGCTACAGTGAACAAGACAGTCACATCCTGCCCTCACGGCGCTTACGTTCCAGATGGAAGAGGAGACACAGTGAACACAGACAAGAGAGAATTTCATGAAATGATAGGGACTCTGAAAGAAACAGACAGGATGACGGGAGAGTCAGGTAAGTATTTATTGGATGGATGATGGATGGATGGATGGATGGTGGATGGATGGGTGGATGGATGGATGATTGATAGATTGATGGATGGATAGATGATGGATGGTGGATAGATAGATGGTGGGTGGTGGATAGATAGATGGATGGGTGATGGATGGATGGTGGATGGATGATGGATGGATAATGGATGGTGGATGGATGCATGGATGCATGGATGATTGATGGATGGATGGATAGATGGATGTTGGATGGATGGATAGATGATGGATGGATAATGGATGGTGGATGGATTCATGGATGATTGATGGATGGATGGATAGATGGATGTTGGATGGATGGATGGATGGATG